CTAACTCCTAGGACTAAAGTGTTTTCAGATAATGGGGTTAGGGTTTGTGGGGGGTTTTAAATGTATAGTAGGGATAGTGGGTAAGTTGGGTATGATTGATCACTGAGCATAATTTAATTCCTTATTTATGTGTTTGTCTTTGTTTTGCTTTTGACTTAGATCTAAGCTTAAGCTTTATACTATGCTAATTGTTGGAGTAACCATATCCTTGTGTTAAACTAACAGTATACTGAAATGGTATCAAACTCTATTTTGCATACTAGTCTTAGCATTGGGATGTTAGATACTTTAAGATTATTCTAATATCACTCTATATTCTATCTCCTCACTCTTTAAGTTGTACACTTAGGAGTTATTTTGTGCTCTAGTTTCTTTACTCAGCTATATATTTGAAAGTTTAGCTCCATACCTTCATTCAGTGACCCAAAGCCTTAAAACTTAAGCTTTTTTTTGTTGTCCTTTGGCCCATATTTCTAAATGTTATATTTCACTTTATGGTTATTCTATCAAGATAATCTCTATATTTTATAAATATGTTTCATTAGTAGATCTAAACACTTTCTATAAATAGCTAATAGGACTGAATAGGACCAACACATGAGGAATGATAGTGAGAGTATCTTGGCAGACATAATAAGCTATCATCTAGTAAATATTAAAGGACTAAGTTCAATATTGTTTGTTAAACCAATGCAAAATAGAGCAAAAGAAGAATAAAAGTTAATTCAAGTATGTATAAGCAACAAAAAAGAATAAATTGAGAGAAGATTCATAAGGGTTCAAATATAAAGGGAAAGGGCTTATAAATAAAAGTGCACCTCTTTTTTAATTGATTAAGGGTCTTGGGATATTTAGGGTTAAGTGTCTTTGAATTTGAGAAGTATATAGCAATAAAACTAGCTAAAGTAGTTTCATGCTATAAATATATCAATTTACTAGTAAAAATGAACTTCAAATACTACAAGTAATAAGATTCTACTACCATAAAATTCACTAGTATATAGGCTAAGTGCCCTCTTAAAAATTTTAAATTTAGGAGCTTATATTTGGTATTAGAGAGGGAATTATTGAAATTAACATTTGGTGGTTTAGTTTATTTTGGCTAAACTCAACTCAAAGAGTAGGGTGTCAAGAGAGTAAGGCTCTTAAGAGGAGAGTTATGACTTTCAACTTTTGTTTATAAAGATGTATACTTGCAAAAAAGCATGAAATAGATGCCAAACTTAATTTACTAACACTTGAATAAAAAAGGACTGATAAAAGGAAATAGTAATGCTTTGTGGTAGTAAGAACAGAATATCTAATAGGACTTATTGACAGATAACTTTTAATGCCTATAATCACATTTATAACACTTTCCCTCTTTTGGAGAAGAATGATATCCTTATCAATGTATATTCTAATGCCAAGGAAACAACTTTAGAAAAAATTCACAATGTTTACATTTTGTGAGGAATGTACCAACTTAAATAAGTTAGAGGTATACCTTTCTGTCTCCACTCAAGCACTTTTCAACCATCACTAACAAGGAAATAACTAATGGAGCTAGCCACCCTTGCTCGTTTAGATGTTATCTAATTTATAAAAAATGATATACTTCTTATAGGCGATATAGAGAGAAAAGTCAGAAATCTTAACCCTCATGAGCAAACAAACTAAACTTGTTGGTAAGGTTCAAATAGACTACTATAAACAAATAGAGTTACGCCCTTTTACGAGAACAAAGAATATTATGAGAGAGATGAATGATATGACCAATTGACAGTAGCTATTCTATAACTAAAGATTTCACCATACATACAAAGTGCCAAAGTTAATTTGCTTATACTGGCCTAAATGTCCTTAGAATACTTTTATGTTCTAATGAAAGACTTATTCACTAAAAATTTTGGTTTTCAAGATATCATTATTTTTTACTTTGATATTGTCTATCTATTGATTTTTAAGTTATCATTCCATAAAAGAGAATTATAGGATATGGACCACCAAGATTATTAAAGTTGAAAAACATAGGATTTACCATTTAATAAAATTTAATAACAAGTATATTATTAAGAAAACTCAATGATAAAGCTTAACTATTAAATATTGTAGATAGCATGTTTAAAAACTTACAAAAAACGGTTCAAATAACATAAAATATTATCGACTGGACAGACAAAATGTTATTAATGCTTTATTTCATTAAAGTGGAACTTTTCATTATCCCACTTATGGTGTGTAGCCACATGCCATTTTTATAACAACAATAAAAAATTGAAGTTTTAGCTTTATAATTTATAAATTAAAAACTTTTCATAAGATTTTGTGTTATAATATTGTGAAATATAAAAAAATAAATTAAAAAAATGATAGAAATATTAATAAATATTAATTAAGTACTAGGAAATGGCATATGCACACATGCTAATTAATGTCCCACTTTACTGAATAAGTCCCACTTTAACGAAATAAAGCATATTACTAAAAGAAATAACACCTAAATCTATTAGAACCAATCTTAGCAACAATCAACAAAATTAAATATATGTCATTAAGTAAACACTTATGTATGCTGCACTTGCTCTACCATAGATGGTTTTGAGAGTTGGCAATAAAGGTGATTGAGATATTAGATATGGAGGTCCATAATTTTGGAATGGTAAAAGCGATGTGGTGAGAGGCCAAGGGATACAAGCCTCAAATATTATAGCCCTTACCAATATTATGGACTTGTTATCTATGTCAAGAGCATAAAGATTGATTATTATTGTTGGAATAGTTATGTATTGCATTTACC